GGGAGGAGAGGGTTACTGTTTGTTATGCTTTGCATTGGGTTGTGTTGATGATGTGTCTATATAACTATGTTGTCGCCACCGACATGCTTGGCTATTTCCCTTGCTGATCGCTCTAGGCCCGCCATGTCTGATACTTTGGGTCCTAGTTCGGTGGTCAGATGGTCTGGCAAGAGCGTTGGATGGAAGGGGGCCGGTTGGGGGAAGGTGGAAGACCGTGATTCCTCCCAGGAGATGGTGATGCGTCTTTTACGGCAAGGATGGATCTCCAGTTGCGGTGGTGCGGTGCTACTGTCAGGGCGAGGACCGCGCTCGCGCTGGCGTGCTGCATGCTGGAGGATCTGCGAGACCTGATGGATGGTCTCGCGGTATTGCTGCAGCTCTGTGGCAAAGAGACAGGTCTCCTCGGGTCGGTGAACCTCCACCTTGATCAAAGTCTCGTCAAGATACTCACAGCAGTAGTCGCGGGGATTGCATGAGCCGCGGGCGGGACTAATCTGGATAGCATTTGCAAGATATCGAGGAACTGGCTCAGTTCTACCTCCGGGATTGCTAGAATTTCCAAAGACATCGTACTTGGTACTTCGGAGATACATGGCTTCCTTTTCCTCTGACTACGCAGGGCCCCCAGCATCATTGGATCTCCAACTTATACTCTAGTTCCTCAATGTAGAGAGGTAAGATTCCATGCAACGTACCTAGATCAACAGTACCTTTGCCGAAGATTCCTCGAACCTATAAGTACGGCGTGGAATCTTATCCTTTGCTTCTGGTCAGGACTCTGCCTCATCAACGATCCTCGTGATTCTTCGGCTCAATTCTACCCTGCCCTTTGCTACCGTACCAATATACTTGGGAATCGATCCATCGCCGAAATGAAGCCTCAGACCATTCTTACTATCTTCTTCGCCTCCTGTGGCGTCATGGCTGCGCCGGCTGGGACTGCTGTCAACGAGATGAACTGCGGCCTGAGCGGCGATATGGCCTGCTCCGGCGTCGTCGAGTAGTTTTGCCCATGTCTGTGCTCGGTATGCCGTCTCTCAACTATAACCTCGCATCCATTGCTGACTCATGAAGAGGGGGACAGATCAGATAAAGAGCCTGAGTCTCCCATTTCCGACGGAAGATAGTACTAAGTCTGCAACTGGATGGCCAATCATAGTTCGTTGGTGGTAGACGGGTAGTTTCATGAGTCTTGGAGCGAGGGTATGCATGTATCTATCATGATTCTTCTGAGTCTCAGCGAAACGACAAGTCAAGCAGACGTTCTTTCTGGTTTCTCAAATGCTTTGAACTCTAGCTTCTGGTAGGACTCTAGCCGAACTGGAGCTTTCCACATTTAAATAAACACTTGTCAGACGGTAGGATGGAAGATATAGACAGACCTTTTGAGAAAGAGAAAGCCTGAGCTCCGTAGCTTCAGAGCATATCCTTGAAAGCGCATCGCCCAGCGACAGAACTTCCTCTCTGGTTATTGTTATCTGTATTGCTCGTATGAGTTGTAGTGGCAGTCGAGTTGAGGTATACTTAAGAAAACCCACCCGCGGATCTAGAATCAGATCACCTGACCTGACCGCCAGCTCCCGACCCGTCCACTAAAGCGGCACCGCTTCCTCTCGGACAGCCTTGCCGGCCGCTACGCAAGTTTACAGAACGGAAGCTCCATCATCTGCACCTCACCATCACCGCGCGCATTTCCTGTTATTCTCGACACCATAACCCCTCAATTTCTCCTCTACCACCTACACAACCAACACGAAAGGCACCCCAGGTGCACCGGCAACACAAAATGGCCGCTGTCGCAGCACCCACAACCACACCCCCCAACTGCACGTAAGTTTATCTCCGCCTAACCACACCCGCAGATTTACACGCTCCTCATGATACCCTACCTACCCTTTCCCCCTCTACCCCCCAACCCAACAGGAGTTTCAAAGCTAACGCAACCCACAGAGTCTACGTACGCCCAACCCACCCCCACCCCCAACCCCAAACCCCCTCAACCCCCCCACTAACACCGCGAAAAAGGTCCGCAACCTCGAAGAACGCATCAAGATCGACCAACTGAAGGAATCCCTGGAAGAGATCTTCTCGGAATACGGCAATGTGATCGAGATCGTGGCCAAGACCAACCTGAAGGCCAAGGGCCAGGCGTTCGTGGTCTTCGACTCGGTCGAGGCGGCCGGCCGCGCCATCGACGAGATCAACGGCTTCGAGCTATTCGACAAGCCCATGGTGCTGGACTACGCGCGCACGCGCAGCGACGCGACCGTACTGCGCGAGGGCGGCGAGGAGGAGCTCGAGGCGCATAAGCGGCGGCGCGGGGCGGAGAAAGGTTTGTTTTTTTCTTTCTTTCTTGGGGGGTGGGGGTGGGTGCTATCGGGGTTTTACTTGGGGGCGTTAAAGCCGAGGGCTACTGCTTGGGGACCGATGGGATGCTAATATTGTGGTGTTTGGCAGAGCGCAAACAAGCGCACGAGGCTCTCGAAGCGCAAAAGAAACTCAAACGTCCCCCCGGCGCGGTGGTGGCGCCCAACGACCCCTCCGGCCGCCCGGCCAAGGCGGCCAAGGGCGCCGGCCTCAAGCCCACGAGCGGCGCCGCCGCGACCGTCATCCCGGACGAGTACCTGCCGCCCAACAAGATTTTGTTCCTGCGGGACCTGCCGGACACCGCCGACCAGGACAGCCTCACCGCGGTGTTTGCGCGGTTCGAGGGGTTCCAGGAGGTGCGGCTGGTGCCCGGCCGCAAGGGGATCGCCTTCGTCGAGTACGAGAACGAGTCCGGCGCCATTAGTGCCAAGGAGGCGACGTCGGGGATGCCGATGGGCGAGACCGGGAAGCCCATCCGGGTCACGTACCAGAGACAATGAGTGGGTGGTTGTTGGTGGTTTCATGTCTGTTGGCGTTTTGCGGGGGGTTCATGGGTTTTTGTCTTGCATCATCATCATCATCATCATCTGCTTATGCCAATGCTCATCTTTGCTTCCATTGGGGATATGACTAAAAGAAACAAATTCTCAAGTGAAGACAATAACTGCTACATGCTCGGAAGTATACTAGGTACATAACAGGGGCAAAGAGGGGGCATCGCTGCGCTAGACTTAGAAAATCACGTCGGCATCTTCCTGCTCGCCGAGCACGTCCGGTGCCTCGGGGGCTTCTTCTTCTTCTGCGGCCGCTTTCTCTTCTTCTACCTCCTCGGCGGGCGGTTCCTCTCCGTTGGCTGCAGCGGCGGCGGCGGCAGCGGCGGCAGCCTCCGCCTTGGCCTTGGCCTTCTCCCGCGCAGCCAGGATCTCGGCGTCTGCGGCAGCGGTGTCTCGCTGTTTCTTGCCGGAGACCTTCTTGAGACGGTAGAACTCCTCTCTGTCGAGTTCGTCGAGTTCGGAATTGATATCTGGGAATATTTAGTTGTTTGCCTTCATCCAGAGAAGAGCCAAAGGTGGTGACTGACATTTGATCGTGTTCTCCGTGCGGGGGATAATAACGTGCTCACTGCAGCTATGATTAGCATCCTTTGCCGCGGCTATTCAGCACAGCATAATAAGATCTTACATAGCATTCACTAGCAGTCGATAATCTCAGCATTAGCATGAACCCCCTCCTCTTTTCTGGGAAACATACCTCTGCGATTAACCACCTTAATCACCTCATCCAGAATCACAAACGCAGTCTATGACACCAGCCAACCACACATCAGCAACTCTATGCCTAAAGCCTCAACCCAGAAAAACATACCTGTAAACTCGCCAACTCCACCAGCGTCTCCACGGCCCGCGCGTACGTCTCCCGACACCGCTGGACCTGCTGCCCACCTTTACCCAACCCCGTCAGCCCGAAGTCGTTGATCGAGTCCTCGGTGTAGCTCTCGAAGTGCGGCAGCAGCACGCCGGACACGTTCTCCTGCTTGGCGCGCACGCGGAACCGCGCCTGCTTGGCCGACTCCTGCACCTGGTAGCCGATGTCACCGCCCACGGCGTAGCTCACCTCCGCCAGCGAGAAGGCGGCGATCTGCATCACGCGGCCCATCTTCTGCTTGGCTTCGTCGATGCGGCGGGTGATCTCTGAGGCGTTCGTTAGTGGGGGAAGGGAGTTTCGCATCAAACTTGAGGCGGAAGTGCGCGCGGATATATTGGGAGCTCTTTAGGTAAGAGGGGTTGGAAAGGGGAATTCCCCGGGGGACGGGGGCAACCATACCGCGGAAACGTCTGTGGACACAAGTATATACAAAGTCAGTTTCTGTCAAAGGGGTCTCCAGATCATAAAAAAACAGCAGGAGATCTCACTTGGTAAGAGCTTCGGATTTGCGCTTCAGTAAACTGTGACCGGTCTCGGCGCCCTTCAACTTCCCCTTCATCAACCCGAGGGACTGGCGAGTCGGGAAGACTGCCTCACGGCCCTATGCAAAAGCAACATAAGTGACCAAGCTTGATAGTAAGACTGAAATAAAGAGATCGCATACCACCGCACCCGACATGATTGAGAGCACTGAGGGAAGAAATAAAAAAAAAGACAAGGGCCAGGCCACGGATAGCGTCGAAAAGGAAGGAGGAGGAATGAACCGATAGGGACGGAGAGCGGCTCAAGCCATGACGATTAACTCAACTGATAAGTCAAGTCAATCCGCAGCAACAAATGTCCCAAAGCTCGGACCAACCCGTGCCCGCCGGGGCGCATGACACCAGGTCACGTGCTCTGCCTGCGACCTCCATCGCCCGCAAGCTTGGAAACCGCATATCCCCAAACCCCTCCTCTCCCTTCCAGCAGCGACGAGGGCTTCTTTTTTTTTTGATTATCTGCATATGCGACACTCACCTCGCCGGGTGCTACTGCGTTGATTTCCGTGTGAGTCGGTCCCGCTCAGTTTGAGTGGCGCAATGCCAGGGACAATCCTGCCCCCGAGATCCCACCGGCAACACGCACAGATGGACCGTTCCTCGGCCTCCGGGCCGGACTTCTACCTGATTGTAAGTGAAAAGTCGAGGGGAGAGAACTGCAGAAAGAGCTGAAACTGATTTTTGCGTCAAGGCCGATCAGGATACCGTGTACGAGCAGGATCTTCTGCGCAATCCCGGCAGCGTCAAGCCATGGCTCGCTTATATCGAGTACAAGCAACAGAATGGAACGCTGTATGAGCAGGCGTTTGTATGTATTCTCAGAATCGGGCATCAAGTGTCATTTGGGACAGGAACTGATGATGGTCGCAGGTTATGGAACGCGCTTGCAGACAACTGCCGAGATCGTACAAGTTGTGGAAACTGGTATGGATTCTTTTTTTAATCGATGATCAACGCTGAACTGACACCCCCCAAGTATCTCGAGTTCCGGACGAACCACCTCCGAGGCCGCAATGCGACAGTCTACAAGGCCGAATACCAGAAGGTGAACGCGCTCTTCGAGCGGGCCCTCATCCTGCTCAACAAGATGCCGCGCATCTGGGAGCTATATCTCTCGTTCCTTCTGCAGCAGCCACTGGTGACGCAGACGCGCCGCACCTTCGACCGCGCCCTCCGCGCCCTCCCCATCACCCAACACAACCGCATCTGGCGGATCTACAAGACGTTCGCGCGGTCCGCGTCGGGCCTCACGGCCGTGAAGATCTGGGCGCGCTACATGCAGATCCATCCGGAGAACGCCGAAGAGTACATCGCCCTGCTGGTCGACATGGGCCACTACACCGAGGCCGTCAAGAAGTACATGCAGATTCTCGATGACTCGCGCTTCCAGTCCAAGGAAGGGAAGAGCAACTTCCAGCTGTGGACCGAGATGGTGGACCTGCTGGTCTCCAAGGCGAAACAGATCGAGACCGGCCCTCGGGTCGGGATCGATGTGGACGCCATCCTGCGCAGCGGAATCGACCGCTTTGCGGATCAGAGAGGTAAGCTGTGGGCGGGCCTGGCGACCTACTGGATCACACGCGGCAATTTCGAAAAGGCGAGAGACGTCTTCGAGGAGGGTATCACCACCGTCATGACGGTCCGCGACTTCACTCTGGTCTTCGATGCGTACGTCGAGTTCGAGGAGTCCATCATCGGGAGTCTGATGGAGTCGGCGGCGGCGCGCACGGATAACGGCCAGAGCGACGAGGAGGCCGATTTCGACCTCGATCTGCGCATGCTGCGGTTTGAACAGCTGATGGATCGACGACCATTCCTCGTCAACGATGTGCTTCTGCGACAGAACCCCAACAACGTCATCGAATGGGAGAAACGCGTCGCGCTTTGGGGCGACAACAAGCACGAAATCGTGCAGACCTACACCGCAGCGATTGCCGCGATCAACCCGAAGAAGGCCCACGGGAAGTTCTCGGAGCTCTGGGTCAACTACGCCAAGTTCTACGAAAACGGCGGCGATCTGGATACCGCACGGGTTATCATGGAGAAGGCCGTCAAGGTTCCGTTCAAGTCCGTGGCGGAGCTGGCCGAGACGTGGTGCGAATGGGCGGAGATGGAGCTTCGGAGTGAGAACTTCGACAAGGCGGTCGAGATCATGGCCAAGGCAACCCAGGCGCCCAAGCGCTCGACGGTGGACTATTTCGACGAGACGCTCTCGCCCCAACAACGGGTGCACAAGAGCTGGAAGCTGTGGAGTTTCTACGTCGATCTGGTGGAGAGTGTGTCCACGATCGAGGAGACGAAAGCGGTGTACGAGCGCATCTTCGAGCTCCGTATCGCCACGCCTCAGACGGTGGTCAACTACGCCAACCTGCTGGAGGAGCACAAATACTTCGAGGACTCGTTCAAGGTCTACGAGCGCGGCCTGGATCTGTTTAGCTACCCCGTCGCCTTCGAACTGTGGAATTTGTACCTGACCAAGGCGGTCGACCGCAAGATTGGCATCGAGCGACTGCGCGACCTCTTCGAGCAGGCCCTGGACGGCTGCCCGCCCAAGTTCGCCAAGCCGCTGTATCTGATGTACGGCAACCTGGAGGAGGAGCGCGGGTTGGCCCGCCACGCGATGCGGATCTATGAGCGGGCGACGCGCGCGGTGTCGGACGAGGACCGCTTCGAGATGTTCGAGTTCTACATCACCAAGTCGGCCTCCAACTTCGGCCTGACGTCCACGCGGCCCATCTACGAGCGCGCCATTGCCGCCCTGCCGGACCAAGAAGCCAAGGAGATGTGTCTCAAATTCGCGGAGATGGAGCGCCGCCTGGGCGAGATTGACCGGGCGCGCGCCATCTACGGGCATGCCTCGCAGTTCTGCGATCCGCGGACCAATGCCGGCTTCTGGCAGAAATGGGAGGCCTTCGAGGTGCAGCACGGCAACGAGGATACCTTCAAGGAGATGTTGCGGATCAAGCGCAGTGTCCAAGCCCAGTATAAGTATATTTCCTGCCCCTCTTCTTTTGGTGAATCATGTAGCTAACTGTACCAGCACCGACGTCAACTTCATCGCCTCCCAGGCCATCGCCCGCAGCCAACAACGCACGCAAGCCGGGGACAAGCCCCTCGAGAACGGCGACGGAGACGAAGACTCGGCCGCGGCGGCCGAACACGCCGACGCCATGGCCGCGCTGGAGAGACAGGCGCGGGCCCCCGTGGGCTTTGTGGCGGCCAGCACCGGACCGGAGGGAGGCAACCGGCCCGAGCAGCAACCTGTGGGTGCCGGTGGCGCTGTCGCGGCGCCCGTCAACCCGGACGCGATTGATTTGGATGATGAAATGGACGACTAGTGACCGCCTAGGTAGTGATGACATTTTTGCTTGCATATCAGCCAGTTGCATAGATGAACCAACTCCAAGCCTCCATCTTAGCGGTCTCCAACCTCTCCCGCCCCACCGCAAACTCCCGAATCCATTCTACAAATGTACAACACGCTTGACCTTGACCTACCTACCTACTACCTACTACCTACCTACTACCCACCAACCCACCCAAGAATCCATCGATCTCTTTTGTCCTCTACGCAGCTCATCTTTTCTATTTCATGCGCACCACCGCGCCCTGTATCCGAATATTCCGTACATCTTATCTTGCCTTACCTTATATCTCATCTGATCCTGAACTTGGTTGACATTGGAATATGGATATCTTCCAGGGCCGGGCTCAATACAACTCCCATTCCCTAGCCTACCAAACGTAAATCAGTTCTTCTATGTAGACAAACGGTGGGATATTTGCTTTCCCATCAGCCCAGCTATAGGGATTAGTTATAGGTTATAGGGATTGTGGTGTAGATAATACCGTGCTGTAACTTACATACCAGTGGGACTTTCATAAGGACCCATTCCAGTTAGGGCAGGAGTCGTTGTTCGAAGCTTGACGCTTGAAGCTTGACGCTTGGATTTGAAGTTGGAGGGTCCAGTAGTCAGCCCCGTCAGCGTGACTGTGACCAGGCTGCGTAGGGTAGTGTAGTGTTGTGTGTGGTTTATAATCAGTTTTCTGGGACTAGTCCGGAACTTCCTGCATTGAGGCTCTAAGTTGAGCTTATTCTCCCTTCTTCCTCCTCGAGCTCATCCAACGGAAGGATGATTCGAATCTTCGGCGATGGGACATGAGGATATTCCGGAATACAGCATCGTTCCTGAGTTACCACCCTTAATGTATGAGTACAACACCGCTCTTATCAGCCGCTCATTCTACCACATCCCCTAGCATAACCCTTGGCGTAACCACAACCATAACCATAACAGCAATCACTAGAATTACAATCCCGATAACTAACTATAACCACAACAAAGAGCATCCAGCAGCAACAAACCCACCAACTTACACTACTACCCTTACCTAAGACAAGAACAACAGCAACAGCAACAGCAGCAAAGTAGAATAGGGAAAAGTCCTCATATTAAACAACCCGCTGAAAGGGTGTAACCTCATCATCAACCAACACTTAATTTACACCTGGGACCCGGACGGATCTCAATATTCACAAAACAACCCCCCTCACCACCTCGACCACCCCCTTCAACTCGCGATTCGGCCGCGTCCAATCCTCCACCTTGACCACCTCCGCCCCGGTCTCCATGAACAGATATTCCGCCGTGAGGGAACGGACCTGCCCGAAACAGAAGAACAGAGTTAGCATGGTGCTTTTACTCAGATCACCCCCCAGTAGCCCAGTAGCCCCCAAGTCACAGGCCCTCCAGAGACCAGAAGCCATCCACCACATACCCCCCAATAATACCCCACCCAGTAAGAAACAGGAAGGAGAAACATACCCTCGGAAAAGGATGCAAAAGCAACCCCGTCATCTTCTTGCGAACATCCTTCTGCAGCACCGCCCCCGCAGCGGCAGGCACAACCCCAGAAACATCCCCAGCAACCCTCGACAGCGGCGCGTAGACTCTAACCGCGGCCTCCAGACGGGCCAGATTGGGGGATTTGAAGTGGGCTTTTTGGATGAGCACGAAGAGATCCTTCAGGACGTCCCTATTCCCCCCGAAAAGAAATCATCG